GGGTGCCTACACATTGGTAACAGCATATGACACTTGAAGAAAAAGAAGAAGAATTAAACATTGGTTTAATAATAACTAACCTTTGTTAAGCAATGAGCAGCACGAAGTCTAACTTTATAGTAACAATGTTCATTCTCAATTGTATCAGTCAGTGCTAATCGTGTGGCAGGTGTTGAATGGTGCTGCAAAGCTTCAATCGCTTCTAATTGTGCAGTGACGTCTCTTTCATGTCTCAATTGATATTGCCATTGATAATCAGGTTGCTCAATTTGCACAGCGCGCATGATCGTCATTTCAGGATCAAGTCTGATCCATAATACTGGAGAATCACTATAAACAATTTTTTTTTTAATAAATGAAACAGCCATGTTTACAATTTTTAAACAAAGTTTACAATTAAAAAAATTTTCGATCTTACTCCATAGCAGAGAGATCCATATCAACTTCTTCGCCAGTACACAATGGAATTTTCTTTTTTTTGTTTCTACGACTTTTACTGTGACACGTAATATCTGCTCTGGCCATTGTACCTTCGATTTGTAACGTGTGCTTAAAAGTACCATCTAGTTCTTGAATATTAACTACTAATGGACCCACGTATTTCCTAATTCCTCTTTGATGTGTAGTGTCTTGCCTAATTTCTAACTCCACTGTATTTCTATAATGTGTGCATATATATATATATATGTATATAATCATATTGTGTATATATGTATATATATGTTATTTTAATTTTGATAATATATAAGATATATAAGATAATGCAATTAAATGAATTTAAATGAAAAAAATACCTTTTTCTATTAAATACAAAACTTAGACTGAATTTCGCATGTCCTCCCGTTCTTACCCATTGATCTATAAATACTGACATATCTTTCCCTGTTACAGTAAAGATAGCTTTAGCAAATACATTTGTACTAATTAACATGTGCGACCACAGGCCAGACTCAATCTTTTGCTGGGCGGCATTAGCCGCTAAAGACAATTGTTTATTAAATACCTATAAAAAATTAAGTATATAATTAATACTATTATGCTAAATGCGTAATAGTATTAAATTAATACTATTACGCATTTAGAGAAGAAAAAAATATTTACTTGAAGCAATAATTCTTGGCCAATCCTATGTTCCAGCATTCTCATGATTAGATGTGCTTTCTTGCGAAGAACTTCAATATATTTTGGAGACATGGTATGTAAATTTTTAATAGGAAAATAAAATCCAGGATCGGGAACTCGAGGAGCAGGCGCTGGAGTATTAGCTGCAATGGGTAATGGTGCTGGTGCTTGAGATGGATCTAATATTATGCCACCGAATTGTTCTTCGTATTTCACGACTTCTTGTAATTCCTTAAAAAAATTATATCAATTAAGACAATTAAATAACTAACAAGCTGAAAAGAGCAAATATTTGGATATACTAAGTACTTACAGATTGAATCCATTCTCTGTATTCATTATTTCCAAAGCATTTCTTCGCATAGAGTCCTGTTAGATAAGTGGAAATACCTTTAGGTAGCCACGTATCTGACCAATTTTGCATAGATATAAAACACCCGAAAAATTGTTCTGCAATTGCTTGTGCCATTGCTTTTTTAGTAATGTATACTTGATCTATAATTGCAGTGGAATGTAGTAAATTTGTACTGTAAATAAACAAATAGTCATAAGTAAGTACAATACTACAGCTTAATTGCACATAAAATAAAGGAAATCAATTTTACTTTAAGATGCTCATAGTAGCATAGGCGTTAATATCTTCATCTATTTCATCGACAAAGACCTGTTTGTAACAGGAATATGGATATCGATTGGACAAAGTTTCCTCATAAAATTCGAATGCTTCGTGCATATATTTTGCAGATACTTTCAAAGATGATAAAAGCTGAGGCAAGCAGAAATGAGTTACTTCGTGCATGTAAGGGTCCACAAAAATCTCGAAAGGTCTATAGAAAAAAAAATTTACATTATCATACTGTACATAAAATTATTTATTAACTGTTTCTATTTACTTACCCGACTGCTAGTGCAATATTTGGAGCACACGCAGGAGTGTTGAGCACATAATGAAATGTTTTTCTCCGCATGTCAGGTGTGTAGACTACTTCAATCAGATCCCCACAGGAAACTGCAGTCATTGAATCATCAACGGTAAATTCTAATTTCCAAGTACATGGTTCAGCAAAACTATCCACACATGGAAACCATAATCGAGACGAATTTTCATAGCTGTATGTATACATATGGGCACCTCTCTAAAAAAGATCAACATATAAAAATAACATTGTTATGAAAAAATATTATTGCATTATAGAGTTTACAAATAATTAGTTTTAAAAATATAAAGTTAAAATTGTTTAATGAACAACGTTTAATGAAATTAATTTTAGTTCATTTAGTTTATAAAGAAAGATTATAAAAATTGACATTATTGCTTAGAATATAAAAAACATCTGGAAATCTGTAAAATGTAATTTGCATCAGATTCTATTGAATCCTAAATAAAACATGGTATTGCAATCTTGGAGTCCATAATTAAAGAAGAACACTAGTTACAACTAAATTTACCTCAGCTAGAGTTCCTTCGCAATTTGGTACCACAAAATGTACACCTCCTTGTGGTTGTTCCAAGGAAAATTCAATGCTAATCCTTAAGCCTCGTCCTTCTGCAACCAAGTGCGCTGCATCTGGTGGTATTTGAACTACTAATTCACCAGCGTTGTTGTCAGGATCAACTTTCTGAGCTGCAGCTAAGTGCATATTAGAGAAAAATTCCAAGGATCGTCTACAACAAAATTGATAATTAGTCTATTAATAATCTTGAATATATTATTAAACTATCAAAAGAAATTTGCTTACTGTTTACTGTCTCCTTGACAGATATCCAAGAATGGATCAAAATATTGGAAAGGCGCTTCATAGGTGTCATTTAAACAAACTCTATATATCCTACATTGTTTAGCATTAAGCTTCACCAGCCTTAATGTGTCTCGTAGAGGTATAACTGTCAACTCGACAAAACCAATTATGCTTTTTCTTTGAAAACTTATTCCTGTTAAGCTTAATATTTGATGAGCTGTAATATATCAAGTACATTGCAATGCATTAATTATGTCATTAAAAATAAAGACATACAACTTAATACATAAATCTAACTTCTAGAGCATAACCTATAAAAAATATAATTTTTTTATTCCCCACGACATGTAAGATCATATGCATTATTTTCTGTTAGATGACTATAATTAATAGTACGAAACAAGTAAAATTCCAATGAATATTAATAAAAATTAATTTGGAAACGATTGTCCAAAACATAACCTGGAGAAAACAATTATTAAACAAAAATGCATCCGTTATTCTTACCTAATTTGTAGGGACGACTGTTATCACCTGTTTTTTCTTTCTTCATGTTTTTATTTATTTATATACTATTTTTACATCCAAAGAAAAAGATAAAACATTGAAATACACAGAACCCCATATCATAATACACTATATTAATAGGTTATAGATCTGTTTTGATCTGCTCTTTATTCCTACATTAGAATTTTCTTTCTTGTTTTCGTCAAATATCAAACTGCGTATATTTTTTCAGTTTAAAGCAATTCAGTTACAGCAATTTACAGAAAACAGATTTCAAGTAGTGCGCTATGCAGTACCACCGACAAGATACTATTAAAGACCCATGGTGGAAATATATAAGGTGAAACTGCTGGATTTTCATTTGACGCTAGACGCTCATTTTCAGCGTCAAAACAGGTCACGTGATCAAAATTGACGAATACCAAGCGTCAATTTTGATCGCGTGACCTATTTTGACGCTGAAAATGAGCGTCTAGCGTCAGATGAAATCGCACCTTTAAAGATCGCCATCCTTATAAGCCTTG